GTCAAAGTATCTTTCAGGAAAGGGTAAGTAATACCTAGAACTGATATCTAAACTTTCCTACTTAACAGTTCCTCAGCCTCCATGATATACATTATAATTCAAAGGATCTTAACAATAATAATTGGGGAAGAAGAGGCTATCAATTTGGGGGGAGGGGCACATGGAAGGAGTTTATAGGGATTGTGAGGTGCTGGAGGGAGGAAAGAAAAGGGAACAGTGATGAAACTATATTTTATCAAAATGTATAAAAATTAAGAAAGAAAACAGATTTTACAACAACAACAATAATAACAACTTTAAACAAAAGATCTTGAGATACCATGGGGAATTTTTCCATCTGCCAAGATCTGGTTTTCACTATTAAGGATAAACAGCCCTAGTCTGAAAGTACATTTTCACTAAATGTACTAATTTTTTAACCATTCTGTCTGATATTGCCACCTCTCTACCACCTTTTTGTATATCTAATCAAAAAATGGCCTAAGTATTCCTAAGAGTAGATAGTTGCAGAAAGTCACAAAGTCTCTTGCTGTCTCAGTGTTAATATTATTACTGAAGAACCACATATTATTTCTCTCCGTTTATTACAGTGCTGTGGGATGTTCTGTATGGCAAATGTGTTGCTAATTAGTCAATAAATAAAACACTGATTGGCCATTGGCTAGGCAGGAAGTGTAGGCGGGACAAGGAGGAGAATAAAGCTGGGAAGTGGAAGGCTGAGTCAGAGAGACACTGCCGGCCGCCACGATGACAAACAGCATGTGAAGATGCCGGTAAGCCACGAGCCACGTGGCAAGGTATAGATTAATAGAAATGGGTTAATTTAAGCTGTAAGAACAGTTAGCAAGAAGCCTGCCATGGCCATACAGTTTGTAAGCAAAATAAGCCTCTGTGTTTACTTGGTTGGGTTTGAAAGGCTGTGGGACTGGCAGGTGAGAGAGATTTGTCCTGACTGTGGGCCAGGCAGGAAAACTCTACCTACATTACAGAGTTATCATGACCTGTTAAATCATGGCAACTATAAAATCCCTATTATCCAGTTTCCAACTCATTTCTTGTACTCCAAATTAAATTTCATTTACTTTTTCATGTATTCTGTTATCAGGAATTCTTATGTTTTTGCTGCTACTCATCACCAAAGTCAGACTGTTTGGGGTCAACTGTTGCACACTACCAAGAACACTGAGAGGAAACCTTTCAAAAGCAATAGCAATGTGTTTCTCACTTAGATGAACTACAGTCTTAAGAAGGGATGGGAGTACTGTTAAAAGAATATTGAATATATTTGATCCAAGCATTTCCTCCTGACCAGGAAAGATCCACTCATTCTATTGCTTTAACTTAAACCTATTGAAGAAATATAAACAAACAAGTGATATAATCAAACTTTGAAAAGACAAAGAGACAACACCTAGATTTGCAGAAATGTCTCCAGAGCCCCTGAATACACACTGGTGGGGAAAAAGCCAAGTGAAGAGACTATGTGTGTGCTTCATTGGTATCTCTGGGTTCAAGTACCTGTTTGCATGTGTATGTCTTCAGGCTGTTTAAGATAGTGCATCATCTGTGCACATTCTATGTGTGTTTGATGTTTATGTGTACATTTGTCTGAATGTATTTATAGGTGATAACAAATGAGTGGCAATGAGCAAATGTAGAGTGTGTGTGTGTGTGTGTGTGTGTGTGTGTGTGTGTGTGTGTGTGTGGTGTTAAGAGAAAAGAATGTGTTAAATTTTCATTTTAGGGTTAAATTTTGTTGGGGCTGAGAGACAGTTTAGTAAAGAGTTTGCTGTAAAGCAGGAAGACATGAGTTCAGATCCTCAGCACTGACATAAAGGGCTGGGTATGACCCACTAAAAACAGACATACAGAAGTGCCGGTGACCATGTCAGAGAAGCAGCAGATGGCAATTGACTTCAGGGGATCAGCACACCAAGAAACAAATCTCCAATGGGTGAATCACAGATAGGCAGGCCCCAAGATCACAGACCCCAGAATGTCTTTTGCTTCTGCTGTGCCTTTACATGTTTGTCACTGGTATCTGGTATGGTGTGAATGAGTGTGAGAAGATCCCCACTGTTTGTAATATAATGTGTTTACCTCATGGAAATATCCTGATCTACTGGGCATTTTCACCTGTGGATTATTATGAAGATGTTTTCATCCTAAGCTGTACTGTTTAACTGCAGCAATGATTTTATATAATAATAGTGTTAGTTTAAATAGGATTTTGATGATTGAGGGTCTTTAATAAATATAGTAAGGGATTATGATAGAGATTAGTTTAGCAGAAATTATAACATAGGCTAAGGTAGGATAAAATGTTGCCCCCGCCTCTGATAAAGCAGAGGCTAGAGAGGACTAATAATAAAACAAGCAAATGTCACAGAACACATGAGTTTCTACTGAGGAGTCATATAGACTGTGGCTTAGGTTAATGATTAAGGAAAACAACTGAGTCCCAGTAGTCCAGCTAGCTTTAATTCTTTTAATCTTAATGTTGGGAGATGTGTTCACAGTTTTCAGAGTGCATCATAGCTAAAACAAAGCCTCAAAATAACTTCAGGTTACATTAGATGTTTTGATAGTAGCTTTGAGAAGAAAAACCCTAGAAAACAATATAAAGTTCACAAGGACGCATAGCTGAGTTATAGATTAATTAGATTAGGTTAAAAAATACAAAGCAGCCCAACTGCTACTAGCTGACATATTTTCTTGCTAGGGTTGGTTGATGATCAAAGGTAAGTATTAATTCCTTGTACCCATTTGTATTTTTTATTAAGAAATTTTCTATTCATTTTGCATACAAACCACAGATCCCCTTCTTCTCCCTCCTCCCACCCCCAACTTTCCCCCCAATTCACCCCCCATTTCCACCTCCTCCAAGGCAAGGTCTCCCATGGGGAGTCAGCAGAGCCCGGCACATTCAGGTGAGGCAGGTCCAAGCCCCTCCTCCCTGCACCAAGGTGCCCCACTATAGGCATTGGGCTCCAAAAAGCTGGTTCATGCACTAAGGATGGATCCTGATCCCACTGTCTAGGGGCCCCTCAGACAGTTCAAGCTAAACGATTGTCTCTCCAATCCAGAGGGCCTAGTCCAGTCCCATGGGGGCTCCTCAGCTATTGGTCTACTGTTCATGTGTTTCCACTAGTTTGGCTGGTCGTCTCTGCCTTGTACTCATTTCTGCCCTCAATCTCCTGATATAAAAAACTATTGATGAGTGGGTATGCACCCTAAAGATTTAAAGTAGAGCTGACTGTTTTTCATGTATAAGAGTTTAAGTTTGTGATTCCTTTAATATTCCTTCTAAGATTACCTTTCAAGATAAATAATAAAGTGATTGACTCTTTCTTTGTAACTGCAATATGCAGCCTGCCAGTAAAAGATGACTGAGAAAAATATCCTGCTTGCTCACACTCTGTTAATCTATAACAAGTTTCTTAGATGGGAATGTATGTGGGTTGTTGGGATGACTTCATTTTAATCACGCAAGGGAGATGAAAACCATGTTTTTACCTGTATTCATTACAGTTATTCACTTGAAAATAGAATGTAACCACATTGTAATTTTTATATTGCCTGAAAGATTTTGCTGGGGTATATAAGCTGTAAGGGAAAGAATAAAGATAGAATTAGAAGGAAATCATCAAGAATGAGAGAAAGAAATCACTAAGAAAAGAATGAATAGAGAATACTGAAGAAGAATAAAAAAGGAAACCATCAAGAGAGTGTGAGTGTCTTTCCCCTTATTCCCTCAGATAAAAAAAAGTCATAGTATACTGACTCTGTGGATTTCCCTTTAAGCTCTGTGTTACTGAAGGCTGGTCTCCCCAGACAGCAAAATAGAAGATATCAAAATAGTGGATAAAGAACATTTATTTAAACTTATTTTGAAAAATATTAAGATTTTCATATCTTCCCTGATGAAGTAGTGTATAACTGTCATTCAACATTCATGAAGCAGAAGAATGAGAATTATCATGAGTTCAAGGTCCACCTGATCTACATGGTGAGTTCCAGTCCAGCCAGAGATACATAGAAGTATGCAATCTCAAAAACTAACACAAAAATTTATTCTCAATATAAAACCATTCAACAAAATTTTACTGCGTACCTACTACATCCCAGACACACTAAGTAAACAATGGCTTTGTTTTTTTTCTCTGTATGAAAAGCATACAACACAATATCTGATATTTAAACCTTCATCAGATTGTTTGTTTGTACATAAAAAAAAAATTGGTAGGAGGTAGCCGGGCGGTGGTGGTGCACGCCTTTAATCCCAGCACTCGGGAGGCAGAGCCAGGCAGATCTCTGTGAGTTTGAGGCCAGCCCGGGCTACCAAGTGAGTCCCAGGAAAGGCGCAAAGCTACACAGAGAAACCCTGTCTCGAAAAACCAAAAAAAAAAAAAAAAAATGGTAGGAGGAGAAGCAATCTTTGCATGCAGCAGCTCCTCAGTACTACTTGTATGTAACCTCTGTCCTATTGCTAGTGCTGTAACTCCCCCAGCTGCTCACATGTATAGAACAAACAGTATTCAAAAGTGATTCAAATCCAAGCACTGAAATATTTGGTACATCCATGTCCTCAGTGAATGGAGACCACTTGAAAGGAACAACATACTTGGATAGTATTACTGGTTACTTGGTCAACAATAGTAACTACTGCATTGCTCTATTAAAATGACCCATTTGAACAGATAGGTAGAGTGCCAGAAAAGTGTGAAGGGGTAGATAACTGCAGATACAGAACTAAGTCAATTTTTTAAGATGTGGAGTAGAAGAAGAGGCAGGTACTCCTATGTGGCTAAGTACAGTTTACAGAAATAGGTGAAGAGAGCATTGAAAAGGCACACTTGTCTAAAAAGAAGCTAGTAAGGATTTCATGAGAAAATATATCTCCTTAGAACACATATCAGAGTTCTACTGTGGAAAATGACAATTTATTTTTCACCTATTGAATCATCTTTCTCTTTTCCCTTTTCAGGAACTATACTTACCATGTCAGTATCTGAAACAGGGCCAAAACTGGTCACATAGATGTCTGTCTTCACTTCAGTCACTGCATCTGAGTGAAATAACATAGAAAAACAGAATGTCAAGAAACAGGATTTCCTTAGATCAGAAAGTGCAATGTGGATGTACTCTAAACTATAACCAGCTTGCTATTTCTGAGAAGGAGTATCTAACATTGTCACATGCCCCTCTCCTCAAAAAAAAAACCTACTTCTCACACGTGCTGTTCCTTCACAGAATACAAAGTAGGTTCCAGTATAATTTTTTACACTTTTAGATAACACTGAAAATGACAGTGGAATTCCAAACATCAAAACTTAGAGGAAGCTGTTAAAGACCCCTGATATATATATATATATATACCTGCTGGCCTCTCACAATGGCTTACCCTTACCTGTGGTAGCTTAAAATAGTGCAAAATCTAATGCTCACCTACACATAGGAACACAGGATGTGGCATCCCCACTTCCCTAAAACTGAAGCAGGGAAGGGAATGGCAAATGTTTCCAGAGATAGCAAGTTACTGGAACAATTAATATCTAATACTAAACCCTCTATCCCATGGTGAGCATGGATACAAATACACATGGTTGTGGTGTTGCCACCAGACTGAATAGTCTAGGATGATGAGCCTAAGGAGGACAGTTGCTCAACAATCAAAATCTATCCACAGTGGACGCTGTTAATGGAAAAAAAAAACTTTTTTTGGAGCTACCTGATGTCACATGGTATACATACATCAATTTTCCCTGATTATGATATCTGGTTACTTGCCTGCCTTCCCACCTAAATTCAGAACTTCTGGTGGGCACCAATCATGTGTAATTTTTAAATTTCTAATTGTTTAATTATTTTACTCATTTGCTTTTTTATTTTTGTTTGTTTAATTTTTTGTTTGTTTGTTTTTTAGGCACAGATTCTCTTTATAGACTTGGTATCCTGGAACTTGCTCGGTAGACCATGCTGGTCTCATATTCACAGAGATCCACCCACATCTGCCTCCTGAGTGCTGGGATTAAAAGATTATGCCACCACCACCCTGCTATTTGCTTTGGTTCTTTGTTTCATTTTGTTTAATTTTTGTTTTTGAGACAGGGTGGTGATATTTTGTGTGTGCTGAAATATGGTGATATTTTATTTATATGTTAATAAATAAAGTTTGCCTGGAGATCAGAGGACATAGATAGCCAGCCATAAACAGAAGTCAGATGGTGGTAGCACAGACCCTTAATCCAATCACAAGGACACAGCCAAGCTTGATGACACACCTTTAATCCCAGTACCAACCATAGAGACGTGGAGGACTGTACAGACAGGCAGTAACAAGGAAGTGAGGTGGCTGGGCTAAGAGCCAATGAGAAGGCAGAACAGCAAGGCAATAAAGGTACAGGTTAGACAGGAACAGTTAGAAGCTGTTCTCTTAAGGAAGCTACAGCATCGTGGCAAGCTAAGGTTAGCTGGTGATTCTCATTATTTCTATCTGTTTGTGATTTTTAATTACAGGCCAGGGGTTACAGGCCCCCAGCCCGGCTGAGCTATAAGCAAACTGGCTACATGCAGCTGGAGCTTCTTTTGGCCAGATCTCCAACTCACATGGCTGTAGGTACAAGGGGGCAGAGCTGCAAGCAGCTAGACTGCCTGTGGGTTTACAGACCCCTGGCTCAGGCCCAAAATGGCTCAGGCCAGAACAGGTGGCTGGACATTAGCTTTTAGCTTTTTTCTTCTCCTAGTAGGTAGTAGGTTCTCTCTCTCTCTCTCTCTCTCTCTCTCTCTCTCTCTCTCTCTCTCTCTCTCTCTCTGGATTCCCAATTTAGAATGCAACCACGCTAGGTGGCTGCTTTGAAATTCCCTCAGACTTTACTGTACTACGCAGACTTGGTAAGTCAATTAAGATATCAGATACCTTAAAGGGAGAAACTAGTTAAAAGAGAAAACTTTTTCCCACATTAAAAAATAGGAAATGTCTTTACAATGGAAGAAAATTGGTCTTTGTAGTCTGAAAATGGAACAATTACATGAGAGGATAATTAATGTTGATGGGATGTATATAACATCAATTGTGCATATTATTTGTTTAATTATCCTTATTTTACTATTAAAAAGGTTGGTCAATTTAAGTGCCAAGATAAAAGCTTTAGAAAAAGCTGTTAAAATGAATGATGGAGAAATTGAGACCCAGACAGAAGAATTTAAAGCTAAAATTATATCGGGATTGAATTATAAGGTTACAGAGAGACAGCCTGTTTTCAAACAATCAAACTTAATTTATCCAGTAGCCATACAGCAACTACCTGATCAAGGACATGTACAAGCTAACTGAACTCCAGTGGAAATGTTAGATTTGAGGAGATTTAAGGAAGCTATAGTATCCTATGGCATGAATTCTCCATTCATAAAGCAAATGTTAAACTCGTGGTCAACTTGTAATAGAATTACTCCTCAGGACTGGAAAGAATTGGTAACAGCTGTCTTGAGGCTGGAGCACAATTACAGTGGCACACTTGGCTTAAGGACAAGGCTGAAACAATAGAAAAACAATGTAGAGTTAGAGGTGTGGAAATTTCCCAGGATCAGCTTCTGGGAGAAGGCAAAAATGCTGATAAAAAAAGACAATGTTTATATGATAACCAAACCTTAAATCTATGCCCCATGGCAGCCATGAATACATGGGACAGAACTGAGGAAGCAGGAAAGAAAATTGAATCATTCACAAAAGTTGTGCAGGGCCCCAGAGAATCCTTCACAGATTTCTTTCAAAGGCTGTCTTCAGCAGTAAATAGAATGATACCAAATTCAGAAGCTAAACAGATAATAATTGAATCTTTGGCTTTTGAGAATGTGAATGCAGCCTGCCAAAGAACAATCAGACTGTTAAAGGCAAGATTTGCATACTTGAAACATAGGATCAGGGACAAAATTAATGTTGAGTCTCATGACCATGATCATATGTGGATAGGAGAAGCAATTTCAAAAGGTTTGAGGAAATATGTCAGATGTTTTGGATGTGGAAAACATGGTCATTTGAAAAGGGAATATAAACAGGGCATTCTCATAAAGAATGTTTATTCAAGGAACAAGGGCAACAGAATGCTCCACCCTTTGGGATTATGCAGAAGGTGTGGTAAGGGTAAACATTGGACCAACAAATGTAGTTCAACAAGAGACAGACAAGGTAATCCTTTGCCTCTGTCTTCAGGAAACTCCCAGAGGGGCCTCATGCAGGCCCCACAGCAAATTCAGTTCAGACCTTTCCTGTCATCATAGAAGAAACCCCTACTCAGAGCAATTAAATAACCAAATGCCTATTGGAATAAAACAGGCTGCTCTGGGTGATAGAACCACTATAGCAGAGAGAAAAGGAAATTCAGGAGAAACCATAAAGTAAAACTTTTGGCAAACTTCCATAAATGAACAAAGACCAAATTAAAAATATGAATAAATGATATTATCTTGGATGGTTTAGTAGACATAGGTGCAGATGTGACAATAATTGCAACAGAATTTTGGCATCAAAATTGGCCTCTTCAGGAGGTAAATGTTCAGCTGTTAGGGATTGGAACATTATCCCAAGTGAAACAGAGTGCAAGATGGCTCAAATGTATAGGTCCAGAAGGACAGAGAGGAAAATTAAAGCCATATGTGGCTAATATAGCTATGAACTTATGGGACCATGATCTATTATAACAATGGAATACTCAGATTAACATTACTTCAACCTCAGAAACAAATCATAAACTGACTCATGTTTCTGAGAGAAATATTAGAAGGTTTTATTTTAAAGAGTAGTCACCAAAACAAGACACAATTGCTGATCTTTCAAAGACACCAACAGCTCTACCTTTAAAATGGTTAACAGACAAGCCTGTGTGGGTTCAGCAATGGCCTTTAACAACAGAGAAACTGCAGGCCTTGGAAGAGCTGGTACAAGAGCAGTTAAATGCTCAGCATATGGAAGAATCTGCCAGCCCTTGGAATTCTCCTGTATTTGTTATTAAAAAGAAAAAATGGTAAATGGAGAGTGGTAACAGCCCTGAGAGCAATTAACAAGGTAATTCAGCCAATAGGCTCTCTACAATCTGGAATTCCTTTGCCTACTCTTTTACCTAAAGAATGGCCTCTTGTAGTTATTGATTTAAAAGGCTGTTCATTCTCAGACCCTTACAAGAAAAAGACAGAGAAAGATTTGCCTTCAAGAGGCCTACTTATAATAATTATCAACCAGTTAAGAGATATCAATGTAGGGTTCTCCCACAGGGAATTTTGAATAGCCCAATCCTATGCCATATTTTGTACAACAGCCATTGGAAGTAATACATTAAAAATTTGCTAAATCTATAATTTATCATTATATGGACACTATTTTACTAGCTGACTCAAATGCAGATATTTTAGAAAGAATGTTTGAAGAAATAAAGAAAATTTTGCCTTGTTGGGGATTACAAGTTGCTCCTGAAAGAATACAAAGAGGAGATTCTATTAATTATTTAGGAAATAAAATAGGTCTACAAAAAATTAGACCCCAAAAGATACAAATTAGGAGAGATCTATTACAGACTCTTAATGACTTTCAAAGATTATTCAGAGATATTTCCCATCTACAAACTATGGTTGGGGTAAAAAATGATGAACTGAGTAATTTGTTCAAAACCTTAGAAGGGTACAAGGACTTAAATAGTCCAAGAAAATTACCTGTTGAAGCCAAGAGAGAATTGGCTTGGTGGAAAAGAAAGTACAGTAAGGACATGTAGATTGTGTGAATCCAAAGCTTCATTGCATATTGGTTATTTTACCCTGTAAGGATTCTCCTACAGGAATTTTAATGCATAGGGAAGATATATTGGAATGGATATTTCTACCAAATAAACAGAGTAAAAGATTAAAAACTTATGTGGAAAAGATCTCTGACTTGATTTTGAAAGGAAAATTGAGACTTCATCAATTAGCAGGAATAGAACCAGCAGAAACTGTAGTACCTTTAACTAAGGATGACATTGACAAATTATGGGCAAAAAGTGAACCTTGGCAAAAAGATTGCAGTAATTTATGGGAGAG